GGAGGGCGGGTCAGGAACAGATAGATGGAGCGTTAGTGTGAACTAAGATAAATGACATGTAACAGTCATGCATAAAGGCTAAAATGCTCATTTACTACCGCCATCTGTTGGGGAAACGCAGGTATTACAGTGAAGAGGCAGAAGTATAATGATAATATAAATACATTTGGAAAAGTTTGGCGGACCGGATTAAAAAGATGAACGGGCCTCATCCGGCCCCCGGGCCTTAGTTTGCCCATGCCTCTACTAGAAGCTGCTCCTGTGCACTGTTTAGTAAATGACCCTTAAATATAAAGCTAAATACTGACGTATGTGCCATCTGTGGTGTTGCTACATAAACCACATACAGCGTGTACATGGTGTCACAGCGTAGTTATCACAGTACAATAAGCTTCCCATTGATGTCAATCAACTGAATATTAACAGAATGTAGCCGAGCTGAAAATGTACATTACTGTACACAGAACAATACTAGTGAAGGTTTTTACTGTTAACTCCATATGTGTAGACTGTAGATATAAAAGAGTTGAAGCTGCTCAGGTCCAAATGAAAATTCTGGTTTAAAAGCTGTAAAAAAAAAAAATTTGGGCTGACACCGTATTGGTTGGATGTAGAATACTGGGCGAAAAGACGTCAATAAAATGTACAAAAATAAACCGCAACTTAAAAAAAGATAATTTGGCACATTTGGTGTCTGCCGCCATCTAGTGGTAGGGACATAAATTACACTTTGAAACAGAAGGCTTGATGGCAGGCCAGTTAATCAGTTTTAAAGTATGTTACTTACTTTATCCCTCAATTCAACACAACCATAACTTTACAACAACAACAACAAAAAAACACTTTCACACAATATTCAAGAACAGAAAGAAAATCATCGAGAAAATATTTCCTGAAATGACACATTGAATATGAAGTTTTCCAGTCTTTTTCCAGAACTTTGTAAATGTTGCTGAGACCTACAAGCTAAACCTGTTTTTATCTCCCCTTCGTAAATGTTGCCGAGACCTACAAGCTAAACCTGTTTTTATTAACGGTCTATGTTAAATCTTATGTTTCTGTGGTGTCAAAAAAAAGAAACATTTGTAGTTTTGCTGCCATTCAGGATTGTACACACTCTTGACTGTATTATAGAGATGTTTTAAAAACTTTAGTATCTTAGAGTGAGCAAAAGAAGAACAATCTGTTTACAATAATACGTAGTCAAATGTAAAGAAACACACACACACAAAAAAGGCAGTCTGTCAGACTGTTGTGAAGAACCCAACACGTTGTAAAAATGTTTATGGCGTTGACCTGTAAAGCACAATTGTGACACTAAAGCTGGATTCAGTCCGATTGTATTGCATAAAGAACGAGATTCTCTGTCGTGTCGCAGTATTACTGTGTGTTGTAGTTTGTCTCGGGTAGATTTTTTTATATATATATTAACATTGCACTGTGTCTGAAAGAGCAAAAATTAAAAAAAACTATTTTGTAATAAATAAGATTCTTCTCAAACGTTCCCGCTCCTTGAAGTCGTCCCTGTTTGATACGACATTAAACCAGTCATTTTGATGCGTCCATATTCACTCTGTCCATTAACCCGTCTGTGTTGTGCAACAGTACGTTTGTCCTACAGGGGTCACAGCGTCACTTTGAGTCTCTGTACGGTGCAACAGTAAGTTTGTCCCACAGGGGTCACAGCGTCACTTTGAGTCTCTTCTCAGAAGTGTGAAGTGAAGTGTTTTTCAGCAGCTTTGACTCACTAACTTCTTGCCAAAGCCAGAGACTTCTGCAGTTCCTCCAGGTGCCTGTCGGCCTGAGTGATCATCATCCTGATGGCATCCTGGTTAAATGATGACACGTTTGAGCATTAGCATTTATGTAAATGTGAAAAATCAGACATTTTTTTTCTCAGATTCTTCCCTAAACCACGCAGTATTTTGACAGGAAACATGGGGGACTAGCTGCAGGCAGGTGAGAACACACATATGTAGACACACTGTACCTGCTCTACGGCTGTCTTGTTCCTCTTGAACTCCTCTCTTGCCCAGTCTCTGAGGTACTTCCGGTCCGCCTCGTCAGGTACCTGCTTAATTGTCCGCAGCAGGTTCCTGTAAATTCCCAACACCTTCTGTCGCTGTAAAAACTGACAACCACATACTCACATACTTTAGACTACACATATGACATTCGAATGTACTTAAAAAATAAAATACACAAATCATCCCATATTATTCATAACAGGTGTGTTTCGAATAACTTGCATTGTTTCTTTTCTGAACTGCAGAGATAGAGTTCAGCGAACTAACGTAACATGTCATACTTAGGTGACGTGTTAATTAAATACTAACGAACTAGAAATTAAAAGTGTATTTTGAATAAGATGTTATTACCTCCGCTATTTACAAACGTACCTGTTTCAATGTTAAAGCCGCGAACGGCAACTTAGACGCCGACATATTTGCTACTAACGTGACACTACCGGAAGTTGATTGGTAAAAGATCCGGTGGCCGATCTTTATACACTGCCATCTACTGGCAGGGAGGGTAACTGCAGCCAACAACTTTACCACATTGCCGGAATACTTAGGTACAACCATTTATTATGCTTTATATTTTAGGTTCACGGCGATATTGCTGATGTTTTGTACTTAATAAAAAGGTAATTTCAAGTCCTACTTTAATGCATAGTGTGATTATTTAATGTGAATTTCATGAAAAAGACAAGACATGTTATTACAAAAAAATATGATTATGCGTAACTGTCTTTCAATCACTCACTTTTGTTTTTCAAATATAGCTGTACATTTTTAGTTAGTAATCACTTAATGTATTCGTTTCCCGTGGAGACGTTTTGTCAAATGTGGACTTAGCACCACCTCAGGCCAAAGGGCGGAACTACAACATGCTCAAGACTCAAAGACACACACACACACACAGATGAGTTTTTTTTTTTCAGCAGCTCTGGTGATGTTTTGTAATGAAAACAGAGGGAGTGAAAATCTATTCGACCCAGCCAAGGTTGGCGGAAGAGAACGTTAACAATTCACATTAGAACCAGACCACAGACGTGATCGTAAACATTTCATTCGCACGGGCAAAACCAAATAAACACAACAGATGTACAGTGCGAAAACCCGGAACTGGTTTCTATTCTAAACAGGATCGTGCTGAAATACTGTGCTTTAGGTTCCACGAAGTATGGAGTAAAAATGAAAAAGACCGATCTGTGGCTGCGCTAGCTGAGCTCCGTTCATCTGTCGCGTCAATGACCTTTTTTTTTTTTTTTTTATTTATTTCTCCAGCCCTGATTTACATCCACACACAACAAGATTTCCTGGGCATTTGTACAAGATGGATATTCACTTCAGTGAGGTGGTTCACACTAAAATCACATTCTTTTTTTTTTTTTTTCATTTTCAGCAGAGACGTGCAAACTGAAGCAATCCTCATTACATTAAAAAGAACACTTGTTTTTGTTTTTTTTTTTTACTAAATCTCCTAAACTCTACAGTAAAAATAAGAAAATAAAGGCACATGTACAGCGGTAATTCCGTACTGTTGTTGTTGTTTTTTTATTATTATTATTATTATTGTCAGTTCTGGCTGAGAGGTCTTTGCAGCAGTGATCGATGCTCAGTCTATTTTTTACGACGGGCTACTCGTCGTTCTACTGGTCGGCCGCCGTGACCAGTTCGAACCACTGCCTGAGCGCGTCGCTCAGCGTCTCCGGCAGGGCGTTGACGTCTCGCAGGATGACGTAAAAAGGGAAGGGGAACTCGTCCATGTAGGAACGGATATCCGGGAGTTCTCCCGGTCCTTTGAAAATGGGCACCTTTATGTCGAGGATGGAGTCCTGCGGAAGGGCACGGCGGCTTCGTTAGATCATTCATACGCAAATATCGATTAAAAAAAAATGTATATAAAAATGTACAAATCCTTACCCGTGAGTTTGGGTTGTCCAGAACCACAAAAATGACAAAGACATTGGCGCCGCGCGCTGACCTCACGGCCGCCATCACCCGCTCTTTGCCCTCCAGGAACAGGCCGCGTCCATCGGAAACGATGACCAGCAACTGGGCCATGTCTGTGGAGGAGGTCAAAGGTTGTGTTGTTTGTTGACAGTGACTTTGAAGTAAACTTTAAACAGGGGTCATTATAAAACTAAAAATGTTTCAAACCAATTCTGGTTTCTACAACACTGCCCTCTATCTGTAGTTTTTTTTTTTTTCGTTGATTCTTATAATTAGTCAATTAGCAATTAGTCAATAAAGCCACTAGGTGGCAATAATACACCTTGTGGCTATTATATTAAACTATTGTAAATATAGAGTACACTTCACTTCATATAATCCAGTGGGTACCAAGTAGAACCCAAGTCACTTCATATAATCCAGTGGGTACCAAAGATGGGGGGCGGGGCCCCATTTGAGGCAGTAGAAAATTTGCATAGGGGTCGCAGTAGGGTCAAATTTAATTAATAAAAATATGATAATAATAATAATGATTATTATTAGTATTACTATGAAATATAAATATCAATTAAAAATATATTTAAATATAATACATAGTTTACTAACGTTACTAGCCTACCTTTTTGATCGCAAAATTCTGCTGAAAATATTATTTATTATTAGTCATTTTATGGAGTTATTTATATTTATATACATTTATTTGCATGACTTTTTTAAGAATTTTTTAATAATAAATAAAGACCTAATAATTCAATATACTTCACTCTGACCTTCGTCAGCTCTAGTCCGTCCTTACCTGTGGTACTAGATCCTGGAATCTGCTGCCGGGCTCCTACGAACATTTTGGTTGAGGTATCCAAAAACTGTGAAGGTATCAGAATATATTCAGTCCTCGGGCTATAAATATTTCCAATATTGCCACAGGACGACTAGTTCAGCGTGAGGCTAACCCTTACCTGTGCTATTCTGGTTTTCTTCTGTTGAAACTGACACAGACGGAGAATCCGAGCTCCCGACTCATCGTTAAACTGCTGCTGGAAGGGGTGGAGCAGCTGCACCTGCTCGCCAAAACTGGACGCATTAAAGACAACAGATACGTTGAAGCGGCGTTAATAACGGGCTTTTTTGATACACTATCAATCCGATACTTTCTTTCCTCCTCCAGCATGCCAAGAAACTGTCGTTGCCGAGGCGACCATAGTTGTTTTCTTCGATGTTCGATCCTGAAATCCTATCCAACATCGTACGCGTATTGATTCTGCCATCCCGAGTTTTAGAACCAAGCATCTCCCAGGATGCTTTATGGTCATTTTACCCTTTTACTTTGCCAATTCAATGTTTTTTTTTACCTTCAAGAACATTTACTTCTTGATTTATTGCAGATCAGGCCATGGGAAAACTAAGGCCCATGGCCCGGATGCAGCCCGTTCAGGTTTGTAATCCGGCCCCACCAAACTTTTCCAAATTATATAATTGGTTTGTATTGTGATTATATTTCTGATGATTTTTCCCTGCAATGCCCACATTTTCCCTATAGATGGCGTTGAGACGGCTAAAAGCATTTTAACCTTTAGGCATGACTTTTACATGTCATTTATCTTAGTTCACACAAACGCTCCATCTAACTGCTCCTGACCCGATACTGTTAGCTTCATGTAATGGTAGCTAATGTCGAACTAGCCGTGTTACAGGCAATGCTAAAAAAAAAAGCATTTATTTAATTAAAAGTGAAAAAAAAAAACATTTCTAATTTATTTTTTCCTTTTTCAAATTTAGTGGGTGCGGCTTATATTCAGGTGCGCTTAATAGTCCGGAAATTACGGTACCATAAAAAAATCTTTTTTTTTTCCCTTACCTGCACACAGACACCTGTCCGACCTCCAGCAGAGTCAGAGCGCTGATGATCACTGACAGGGACTCGAAGGCTAGCTGCAGCACAAATACAAAAAAAAAGACATCAACGTCATCAGCATTTTGATGAGTTCTGCTGGATTCTCATTAAAGATGTTCTAATGATGCTAATGCTACACTAAACCCCATTACACAATGTATGTTATGCAGGAAAAGCCTGCTAGCTTATTGCGTATCCATAGTAACCTGTTTGGTGTGGTTGTCCACCATGCTGGACGAATCATCCACAGCCAGGCAGATGTGGTACTCTCTTTTGCTCGGTTTGGTCCTCCTCAACCAGATCTTGTCCTTGCGAAACTGACTGGCGATGTAGGGGATCACTTTCCTCATGTTCAGGCGCTTCCCTGTACGGTAATCGCCTCTGTAAAACCAGAAAACTCAGAGTCAAAGCATGCTGTGGTGATTTGACCGGGCAAAAAAACTGAACATAATTCTTTTGCGCATTTAAGCTGAGCTCCAGTTATAGTCTGAATGAAGTTTTGATCCCTATCTTAGTAAAGAAATTGCTAATGCTAATGCTAATTTTGACTGTTATTTTGTTTGAAACTCATCATCAGCTGAACACAGATAACTCTTTTTAAGCAAAAAACAAAAACAAAAAAATCAGTAAAGTTTGCAGGTGATGTTTGTTTGTTTAACGTGAGCAAGTGTAGCAAGCGGCTAACTCTAGCTAAAACAATTTTAAAACAATTCTTAAGGGCACAGGTTTCTATATTTTATATATTATATATAACTATATTTTTTACATTTATTTTACAAAAATAAAACTTTGTAATAACATTTGGTGAGTTAAGCGTTGAAGGTTAGAAGCTATACTTATTAGCTAATTTGCTAAGAATATTTAAGTTGGATTTTTGCTAAGCTAACGGACCCTAACACTCATGAGTAACAGATAAAGCTACCAGCAATATACCAGGCTGGTAGCAAGAAGCTAACTGTAGCAAGCGGCTAATGCTAGCTATAACCATTTTAAAAAAGAATTTTAAGGACACAGTTTTTATATTTTGTACATTTTTTTAAACAAAAATAAAACCTATTTTGTGAATTAAGCCTTGAAGGTAAGAAGCTATACTTATTAGCTAATTTGCTAATAAAATTGTAGGTTGATTTTTGCTAAGCTAACTGATAAGACCACCAACGATATTGTCAATTAACCCTTTCATGCATGACGGTCACTACAGTGGACAGCTATGAAAATGTCATTTTCTATGATAAGAATAGGTTTTGATGGCAGTGTTGTATATAAGCCTCTACTGTGGACGCCTGAGAATCACCCAACACTGCCATACAGTGGTCAGCCTTTGCAACTGCAGAATAATTGTGTCAACATTCAAAAAGAAAATTTGGTGTATAAAAACAGAACCAAATCAGTTCTTATGTTTATGTCTAAAAACACATAAAAACACTTAGTAACATTTTTTTAACTCAGTATATCATGGGTCATGCATCACAGGGTTAATTATATTTTAATTGTTTTTTCTTTAATAGAAATTACACATTGAAAAATTAGAACTGTCAAATTGAAGTGTAACTCACTTGAGTTTGGAGGCCTGCGTGGGCTCCAGGATGAGCCGCAGCTGCTCACACAGTTGCTGAGACAGAGGTGACGTCAGATTCTGGTACTGATGCCACATGGACGCCGCTGCGCTTTCCTGCGAGACAACGACAAAGAGACAATAAGAGCTAAGGTTTGACACCAACGACCCTACGTTTAACACCACAACCATAACAGCCACAGACGTCTGTGGATCGTGTCTAGTTGGAAAAGTCGGTTCTACTAGGTCAGGTGTGTCGAACACACGGCCCACGGACCAAAACTAGCCCACTAGGCGGTTCAATCCGGCCCATTGGAAGAATTTTGAAAGTGAAAAAAATGCACAAACACTTAATGTTCGTGATGTTTTGTCACATTATATTTCATTAAATATGAATATGTTCTCATATATTTGCTTGAAAACAAAGGGGGGAAAAACATAGACTTATTGTTATTTATAGGTAATTTTGTTATGATTGTACTGGTCCGACCCACTTGACATCTAATTAGGGTGGTATGTGGCCCCTGAACCACAATGAGTTTGATGCCCCTGTATTATTTTTTCCGTCATGCGCCCCCTTGTGGACAGAAATGTTTTCACATCCCCACCCCGACCCGCACCTTCGCGCATTGAAATACTATTGAGAACCTGATAACATGTATATTTTTATCTGTACAAACCACTGTATGAGTTGCTGCCCCCTAGTGGCTGGAGGCTTGTTATCATTCAAGCATTACAGCAGTGGTACATTTATGTCCATATGCGTGCCATATTCCATTGAAAGTCCCTCACGCCCCCCTCGGGCACCTGAAAGAGGAAACTCTTACCTCCTCCTGAGTTCCTGGAGCCAGTTTGTGCCAGGATTCCAGCTGGAGTTCCATTTCCCTCCGAATGTCGTTTGGGTCCCTCTCCGTTTTCTGCCGGGAGCCGAAGACAGGCATGAACTACAGTTAGAAAATCGATTCTTCTTCTGGTTTCTACACAGAACTCGGGACGAGCTTAAAACCGTTGCAACGAAGACAGTCCCAAGTTCGATTCCCAGAGGAACGTAAACGTGTTATTCTACCTGCACGGTTTCCAGCAGCAGCTCAGGGACCGTGTGAACCGTGGACTCTGTGCGTCTCTCCTCTCGTTCGTTTTCTTCGCCGGGCCGCTGTTCCTTCCACTTCTCCTCCTCCTCCTCCTCCCCCCCCCCCCCCTCCTCCTCCTCCTCCCCCCCCTCCTCCTCTTCGTCATCTCCTCTTGGCGCCCCCCCCCCCCCCCCCTCCTCCTCCTCCTCCTCCTCTTCGTCATCTCCTCTTGGCGCCCCCCCCCCCCCCCCCTCCTCCTCCTCCTCTTCGTCATCTCCTCTTGGCGCCCCCCCCCCCCCCCCCCTCCTCCTCCTCCTCCTCTTCGTCATCTCCTCTTGGCGCCCCCCCCCCCCCCCCCTCCTCCTCCTCCTCCCCCCCCTCCTCCTCTTCGTCATCTCCTCTTGGCGCCCCCCCCCCCCCCCCCTCCTCCTCCTCCTCCTCCTCCTCTTCGTCATCTCCTCTTGGCGCCCCCCCCCCCCCCCCCCCCTCCTCCTCCTCCTCTTCGTCATCTCCTCTTGGCGCCCCCCCCCCCCCCCCCCCCTCCTCCTCCTCCTCCCCCCCCTCCTCCTCTTCGTCATCTCCTCTTGGCGCCCCCCCCCCCCCCCCCTCCTCCTCCTCCTCCTCCTCTTCGTTCTTCGTCATCTCGTCTTTGCGCCTCCATCTCTCCGCTGTCCGCGCCTGTGCGACAGCGACCGGGAGGTTAGCGAGGAAAACCTTTTGACGCCAGAACTTTACCGAGCGAAAAGAACGAAAAACGTCACCTTTTCGCGAGGCCTTCGTCGAGTCCAGCTGCTCGGGCTTCATTTCGTCTATCTCGGCGGCGTGGAGCTCTTCGTCCTGGTCCTCTGTGTCCATGGCCACGTCCTCGTCCTTCTGATCCTCCTGCTGCTCCGGCCCTGCTGCGTTCTGCTGGTCGGCACTGGCCACATCTGCGGACGGCACATTTATTTCAAAGTTCAAATGTCTCGTATCGAAGCAGCTAAAAGCCTTCGACAATTTAGGGAAGAAAAAAAAAAAAAATCACTGACCGTAAGTCTGAGCGTCGTACGTCGTCTCTCCCTGTTTGATGTGCTCGTAGAGCTCGGACTCCTGCCGCGCGTCACTCTGTCTGCTGTCAGAACTTCTGTCTTTGCTGCTCTCCACTGTACGCAGACGCTTGTTGATGCGCTCGTTGTAGTCGCCCGTCGACCGCTCGTTGTCCGCGTGACCCGGTTTTCGCTTGTGGCTCTGATAACACAAACCAGTGAAGGAATCAGTAGAAAGAAGAAGAAAAAAAAAAAAAAAAAAAAAAAACGGTGGCATCCCTTCTGATCGTACCTGGGTCTTGCTCTGCGTTTTGGTTTGCGCGGCCATTCTGGCCGTTAGCTTCGACTGGTGACCCTCGGCTTGACTAGCGTCAGCTGCACCACTGCCGTGCTCCTGGAAGATGTGGAAAAAAACTGAAATTTTTAGATCTGGTCTTCAGCCATGTTCCTCAGAAGCCAATGCTGCACAAATTACCGTAATTTCCGTGCTATAAGCTGCTTGTTTTTTCACACGCTTTAAATGATGATGCGGCTAGTTTATAGATTTTTATGGGCTAACGAAGTTCATAGTATATAGTTTGGCGGGCCGGATTAAAAAGATGAACGGGCCGCATCCGGCCCACGCGCCTTAGTTTGACCATGCTTGGCTTAGGCCCTGGAGCAGATTACTTGTGCATTCCAACTACGGTCGAGGCGCCGAAGCAGGAACATTACGCTAACGTATAACTAGCCGTGTTACAGGCACTGTACGGAAACAAAAAAAATTTAATCAAAGTGAAAAAAAAAATATTTCTGTGTAAATATCCCATGTTACAACGTGGCATATAGAGAAGTGCGGCCTATTTATGTAGAATTATTTTTTTCTTTTTATATTTAGTGGGTGCGGCTTATATTCAGGTGCGCTCAATAGTCCGGAAATTACGGTATTTTTCAAAGACAAGAAATTTTTTTTTTTTTTTTATCATCTTGCCATCGACAAAATAGACACTTTGCATTTTTCACAAGGAATATTTTTTTATATATTTTTTTTATATTATTATATTTATTTTTTTGCAGAATTTTATAAAACTAATGACCAGATAATGCTCAGCTTTTTTTTTTTTTTTTTTTTTTTAAATTTTTTTTTTTTAAACCCCCCAAACTAAAAAAGTTTTTTTTTCCCCTGATTCGCTCTGGACGTTCTCTTCTCCGGTCTGACCGTCGGCATCATGTTCCCGTCTGTCGGCCGACTCCGGCTGCATTTCGTCGTCGTCTTTCTCTTCCTGTAGACCACCGCACATCGTAAAAACGTATAACATTTCATGCAACACGCTCAGTAACTTCAGTTGTTTTTTTTTCTTTGGGGAAATACAAACCTGTTGTTTTTCTTCTTTCTCATTCGGAACCGTCTGATCCCCTCGTCCATCTTCCCGCTTGTTCTTTTCATTTTCTTCTTTTTCTTCGTCTTCAACGGCGTTCTCATCTCCCTCGGCCTTCTCCCCTTCTCCGCCTCCCTCTTCATCATCTTCAGGTTTGGGCTCCTGTCCCTCCTCCTCCTCCTCCTCTCCTGGTTGCTCTGTCTGGTCGTCCTGCATCGTTTCTCCTCCTTCCTCCTCCGTCTCCGGTTTATCCTCTTCCGCAGCGGTGTCCTGTCCGTCCTCTTTTCCGTCCACGTCCATGTCTTTCTCACCGATGTCGAAAGGATTCTCTTCTAATGACAATCCACCAAAAGAACACATTATGTCATGTGGACTTCCACCGAGGTCAGCAGGTCAACATCTACCCCTAAACGACTTTTCTACAAAAGTATTCTTCCTCACCATCTCCCTCGCCCTCTTCGTCCTCCCCCGCCTCTTCCTCCTGGTCCAGATTGAGATCTTCAGGCAGATCCATGGACTCCGGCTCTGGCTTTTTGTTCTGCTGACCGTGGTAGGGATCCACTTCATTCTCATCGAACTCCCTCTGTGAAAAAAAAAAAAAAAATCAGACGAAATGGAGCAACGAAGGAAACGCGAAATTTTCGCATCATGCTGTTGTCGTCGTTTGTCGTCACCTCATCTCCTTGCTCGTTGATCTTCTCTTTTTCCTCGTCGTTCATTAGCTCCTCTTGGTCCTGATTTTTCTTGTCCTTGTTTGGGTCGGCAGCGTCCAGGTTGTCGTCTTTGGCCACCAGCTCTGATTCGCCCTGAGAGAAACCACAGTATTGACGTCACATAAGGTCAGCTGGTTGAAAAGCTTCATCGCTTTTAGTGAAACCTGATTGGTCCAGGGTTTGATCCGTACCTGGTCCATGCCTTGACCCGACTCTTCTTCTTTGTCACTCCCTTCCTCCTCCTGATCGTCCTCGTCGTCGCCCCACAATCTCTCATCCAGGGTGTCCGTCTGGCCTTCACCCAGATCGCCCATCTTTTTGTCGAGTTCCTCTTGCTCTTCTTTGTCAGAATCTTCTTCTTCTTCGCCTTTAAACATAAAGGGCGGAAATATACTGTGATTGCTAATTAGCTTCTAAGCTATCAACGTTGACATTTTACAGCTCTTATTTAAGGTCACTGGCTGTAACTGTACGTGGGATAAAATGATAGGCGTAAATATATCGAGCCCTCACACCTTGTTCATTTTCATCCCCATCATGCATCTGGCCTTCGAAGTCCTCTGACATTTCGATGGCGTTGTCCTCGGACTTTATATTACCCTTGTCCTGTTGTTCTTCCTTTTCCTGACCCTCCTTCAGAGTGTCCTCAACCTGAACAAAGAGGTGTTAACGTGGCGCGCCAACAACAACTTCATTCTTATTATAATAAAAAATAAATAAAAAAATATATTATGTATATGTATACATATATGAATACATATATACATATATGAATACACATATACATATATAAATATACATATACATATATAAATATACATATACATATATAAATATACATATACATATATAAATATACATATATGCACACATATAAATATACACATACATATATGTACACATACATATACTGTATGTACACATAAATATACATATATACACATATGTACACATATATAAATATACATATATGTACACATATAAATATACATATATGTACACATATAAATATACATATATGTACACACAAATATAGATATATGTACACATATATAAATATACATATATGTACGCACATAAATATACATATATGTACACAAAATATACATACATGTACACACAAAATATACATATATGTACACACATAAATATACATATATGTACACACAAATATAGATATATGTACACATATATAAATATACATATATGTACACACAAATATAGATATATGTACACATATATAAATATACATATATGTACACACAAAATATACATATATGTACACACAAAAATATACATATATGTACACACAAATATACATATATGTACACATATATAAATATACATATACATATATATATATATATATTTATTAATTAACTAATATGATTTTAAACAAAGTTCAAAATCTAGAAACATTTTGGGAGAAACCCCGAAGGTTAGCCGTAGACAAAGAATTATATAAAGAGGCAGAGTCATTACTTAACAACACGACCTAAACAGTTGTGACTTATTTATTATTCGACACAAAGTTGCTTCTCAAAAACCCAAAGCTAAAGTAAAATTATATTTGTTTAAAAAAAAAAAAAAATCCTTCTAATCACCTGATCCTCGTTCTCGATCTTGTCACTGACGTCTTTGGTGCCTTCTCCCTCTCCTATCCCACCACCTTCGTAATCGTGAAACTCCGTGGCGCCTTCTCCGTCTCCCCCTGCTGTTAGCTCCTGAGGTAAACAGAAACCCTGGAGGAACGAGAAAAAAAAAAAAAATCAAAATCATTTAGTCTGAAGTTCTGTTTTGTTTGTCAGCGACGATAAAAATCTCTAAGACGTTTCCGCACCTTTAGGGCGAGCTCTGTGAAGATGCTGGCTAGCACAGACGTCAGTTTGCCTGTGCTCCTATGCGCGGCCACTGACATGGCGAGGTAGTAACGCACCAGGTCCGAGTACATGCCCAGGAGAGGCTCCAGACGTGCCAGCATGCCGCAGGCCCTGTGTACCTCCTGTCACGGTCACAGGGCAGATAAATGACCACAGATGCTGAATTAAATCATTTATGTTATAGTATATGCTATACAGTAGTACAGGCGTGGGCGAACTTTTGACTCGCGGGCCACAATTGGTCCTAAAATTGAACAGGGGGGGTCCGGGTCAGGAGCAGATAGATGGAGGGTTTGTGAGAATTAAGATAAATGACATGTTAAACTCATGTATAAAGGCTAAAATGCATTTTCTACGCCATCTACTGGGGAAATGTGGGTATTGCAGGAAAAAGGTAGAAGTATAATGATAATATAAATAAATGTACTATTAGGAAAGATTTAGCGGGCCGGATTTAAAAGCTGAACGGGCCGCATCTGGGCCCCCGAGCCTTAGTTTGCCCATGCCTGCTACAGTATTATAGTTCTGCAGTCCTATTAAACAGCTATGGATTTGTTTTTTTTTTTACCTGAAGCTGCGTTGGTTGACAAGTGTCTCTGTGTGTTCTCAGGCTGCAGAACAATCTCTCCAGCTGCTCACAAACATCGCCGACATTCAGAGACTCCACCTCGGCTTCGAGCTCCGCTTCCATGAGGCGAGCGAGGTGACCGGGCTTCAGCAGGTCTTCTGCACGCTCCTCATCCTCATCCACGTCCGCGTCCTTTATAGCACCGGCTATAACATCAGCATGTATATATATAAATATATAAATATATATATAAAACATATGCATAATGTTTGTCTGAACTTACACATAAATAAAATGCAAAAGTGTTCTATTCTATAATACAGTATTCTATAAACAGGACGGATAGATGTAATTGAAAATCTGGCCTCTTTTATTTTTCAAAATAAAAGCTTTGCTTTTTTTTGCTATATTTTTATTGTTTATTTTTTTAGGTTAGAAAATGTTTATTACGAAAATAATGATACATTTAAAAAAGCATTGGAGTAAAATACATAAATTAAATTAAATGTATATATATATAACATGGAGAATTTTGTCTAGACTCGCAAAAGTGTTATATTCTATAATATAGTATTCTATATACTGGACAGATAGATGTAACTGAAAATCTTTTGAAAATTAAAAAAAAAAAACTTTCAAAATAAAAGCCTTTTTCAAGGCATTAGGGGACCTCTGAACTAGAGAAACGGGTCAAACTGTGTCTGTCATCACCTAGTGGCATCACCTGAAAATGCAGTTGGTGCATTGCATTCTGG